AACGTACCGTATCGTATAATCGTATATATTGTTTTGTGTAATATAAATTTATATGCTATTTATCGTAGTTATTCTCACTACTTTCCAGGAAGGACCTGAAAAATAAAGTACAATACAAATTGAAGGTAACGAATAATAGCAGTAATAATACCAACATAGAAAATACACAGACAGAATTTTAAATATTATCTACTAAAAAGACTACATGTATTTAACACATGGACTGCTGAAAATCTCTACAGATGGTCATGGATTGTCAAATCCTATTAAATAAAATATAAATAGTATAAAAAGCTGAAGCTTTAGAAAACCTCCATGTATAGGTTGAATATATCAATTACTCTGTAGCTCTAAAATAGCTAGGAAAAACATTGAACATAATCATATGAAAGGTCTGAGTTATTTACTGGCACATGTGATCAGCTTGCTGGGTATTGTAATTATGAATTCACATGTTTTTATAAAATAGAAAACAGAAGATAAGTGGGTATTTGAACACTACATCTGAATACATTGTTACATGTATGTAGGCTATGACTTTTTTCTAGCTGACCCTTAATTTAATTCAAAAGTAAATCATTTACATGTAATTTCTGTTGTCTACTGTACCACTGTATTAAATTTTGTTTCTTGCATAATATTGCACACAATATTAGCAGTGGATTCTCTAAATATAAACACCAAGAAGTAAACACCACAAATATTTAATTTCAATATTACTACTCTATTTTATTATTTATGAGTGGCCAACAAGCAACCATTTGGTGTTCTTAATATTCAGTGTTAATTTGTTGACACTAAGCTACATGTTTTTAGCTTCGCTGTCATTAATGAAGACCAAGCAGAGCTGTTACCCTAGGTTTTTATCTGTTGTCAGTTGTCAACAATTCTATTTTTGATCAGTTATTTTCAAGTTTTGGCCATGAAAATTCTGTATGTTACAAGCATGTCATATTTATATTTATTTTCTAATTATTCATGTGTTGATACAGGCATGTCATATTATTTACTTGTATCTCGTACATTATTAGCAAATACATAGAAATATTGCGTGATTACTTTAATTTTAATTTTGGTACACATGAAGAGATCAGACCTTTGAAAATGGACCACTCTTTGCTTCTATTCTTTGCAATATCTGGTTATACACACCCAGTCAATATATAAGACGTAAATGTTTTTTTAAACCAGAGTGCAAGACTGTCAGTTGTGTAGACATGAAACTATGATAGGGTGTTTGTCTGTTTTTATTGACCTATCTACATCTTTAAATTAGCAAAATTTATTTTTTCTTGTATTTTTCTCTTACTTTTTGTCCCTTTTCCAAAATCTATAAATGGGTTTTCAAGTTGTCAATCTTGCTAATAAATAGTGTTATACCTTTAGTTTCTGACTCCATTTTTGACTCCCGTATGCGAAGCACAAAAGGGAGTCTTTGCAGTTACCCTGTCTGTATGTATGTATGTATGTCACTTTTTTTGTTCCACCGTTATCTCAAGAACCACTAATCAAATTTTGGTGAAACTTGGTACATAGATACTCTGGGATAATGCGCAGAGTTGATTAGGTTTTGGTAAAAATCTATGAATATTAATTACCTAATTTGCATGATAATTAGCTGATTTTAGCTGTTCCAAGACTGTTCCACTGATATCTAAAGAACCACTCATTGGATTTCAATGAAACTTGGCACATGGATGCTCTGAACTAATGCGCAGATTTGATTAGTTTTGGGTAAAAATCTGTTAATATTATTAATTATCTAATTTACATAATGATTAATCAATTTTCGGCTTTTCCACTGATATCTCAAGTACTAATCATAACATTTCAATAAAACTTGGTACATAGGTGTCATATGACACTGCACAGACCTGATAGTTTTTAGGGTAATATCAGTACATATTAATTACCTAATTTGCATAATTAATTAATTTTCAGCTTTTGATATTTCGAGTAGTAATGATCATGTTTCAATGAAACTTGGTACATAGTTACTTGAGGACTGTGCAGAGACCTAATTAGTTTTTGGGTAATATTTGTGCATATTAATCTTCTTATTAGCATAATTAG